TGAGGTATATCAATAATTCTCGTAGTGCCATTCTTAGCCCAATCTCATTGTACTTTGTTCTCAAAAGCTTTGAATGAGACAAGTTTGTCCAATATGTTGATAACCAACTCATTATTCCATGGAGCACACCACTCCTCGAACTCCTCGAACTCCTCTTACGAGACAGTGATTGTAGGGTAAAGATCAGGATCAACCCCATATAAGATGAATCATCCATTTCAGTTAAGAGATCTTCCTCATAATCTTCCATGTCTTTCAGAAGGCAATTATAATTAGAAAAAACCTTCCCTCCTCCAAAAGAGAGTAAGTTATTTGCATATGAACGTTTGTTCCCCATCTTCTTCTCTAGACCTTCCAGGTTCTCCTCCATGGTTTCATCAATCACGACATCATTAACCTTCATCTTGACCTTCTTCGTACACCTTTGGATTGGGCTTTCCTTATCTTGGTCTAAAACCTTACTAGAGCTATTTTTCTCCTCCATAAACTCAAACCTTCTTTATTGTAGAATAAATAAAATATATTATTATACACTTTCTACTCTTAATTTTTATTTAAAACTCAAACATTGGAATCCTTACATTATTAAGCTCATACCCAAAAAAACAATACTTACCTTTTATTGTTTGTTAAAATAGATATTTTTAGTTTCTATACTTAAATTTTGTAATCATTTTTGTCTCTTTCATTAATTTCTCTGTAACGTTGCTTCTATATGAGTGACATGGATGTGGGCTTACTAAATCTGTGACAATGATGTATTTAATTTTGTGGGTAGTGATGTTTCACTTGACAATTTTGGTTTAAAAAAAGGTTAAAAATTTTGTGAACAATCAATATTTACAATGACTAAATATGATCCAAATGATCGAACTCAAATTACCGATGATAACATAGTAATCATTAAATGATAGATTGTCATCCAAAAAACTAAATACATTATCACCACGTGAATTAAATATGTTCACATCACTTACATGAAAACAACGTTATAAAAAAATTAAAATTATAAATTATAAAAAATAAAAAATTGTAAGTATATAGATTAAAAAGATTCATTTTAAATTATAGAGATTAAAAATAAAGTAAGAAAAATGATAGAGACTAAAAATTTATTTTAACCTTAATACTAGCAACAATAAAAAGGCACTCTTAATCTTTGTTTCTTTTTTAAAAATGATAAATAAAATAAAAATAAATGATTAATGATTAGAGTCTAAGTAATTTTTAAGTAATTGTAATTTTAAGAGTAGATTTGAAAAATGGTGAAAAAAATAATTTAAGAATTAGTTATATATATAAAAACAAAATTATTGCACGATAATTTTATTTATTAATAACTAGAAGAATTAAAGTATTTTGTATTTCTAATAATTATAAATAGACAAATATTAGAAGATTGTGAATAATTATTTGGAGATAATATAAGAAGTTTTTTTATTTTATTTATTTTTTTTAATTTTTTTTACATTTGAGTGGTATAAAGATTCATTTAAAAGTAGAAAGTAAAAACAATTATATATCCCAATATCTTCTTCATGAGCATATCAAGCATATCAAGTGAGAAGGAATCTAAAAGTTATATATTAACCCTCTCATCTCACATAATAAATTCTCTCTCACTTGATATGCTCATTATATATATATATA